GCTCGTTTTAATCATCTAACTATTTTTTAAATTATACCTAACGTTATATTTTGGTTCCATTTTGATCACCCATCATTAAAAAATTAATAGTGATGTTGACGTGTCACCATAAAGTTTTATCACATGAATAATTCTATTAATGTTTAACGACATATAATTAAAATAAAATTGAAATGTATCGCTAAATATGGTTTCAAACCAAAATAAAGTCATATAAATAGTTTGACGACTAAAAACATGATTCAACCTAGAATTTATCATAGGGATTTGTCTACTCTTTAAATTCCCCGTGAAAATCGGATGAAAAATTTAAAATTATCAAAGTTTTGGATAAATTTAAAATTATGAAAGTTTTAGATTAAGTTGTTGAAATCGCTATTGTTAATTTAAAATGATTTTTTTAAATGGTATGAGGTGATTATTAAATAGTATGTGCTCATAATATTTTTAATTTATTAATAGAACATATCTTATAAATACAACTCTCAAATCTAAATTTTTTAAAAAGAATAATATTATTTTTTATTATTTAAATTGTTTGTTAAATTTAATTAATTTATCCTCTACTATTATTTTATCTATAACTTTATTTTGTTGTCGTCGTTGTTTTACAAAAAAAAAGTATGGTTCAACATTTCATATGAAATTGAATAAAGTAAATTATATTAAAATTTTAAAAATCAAACACTAGTCGATCACTTTTTCCTTAGTCGTTTTCTCCTTTGTTTACATTTTTTTTGAGTTTATATCGTTTTTCATAGATCATATTAATTTTTTCTTCTTTGATTTTCTTTAGCCAGCGACGACACCGACTTTGATGCTGATTGTCGATCATTGGTTCTCTTTATTCTTTATTTTTTTGTTTTTTAATAAGAATAATTTTGCATGTGTTGTACATTTATCTTTGCCTGCGTTGCACGTTTATTTCTACCTTTGTGACATGTTTTTCATTTTTTTTTCTCGGTCGTTTGTCCGTTCTTTCATTTATATTTTCTCAGGGTTGGATCTGACGACGCCACTACTGATCAAGATGGTGCTTTTTCGAAATGTTGTCGATCTTCCATGATATGGACATTTAAATTGAATTTGGATGCGTGATTTTGCATTTGTAGATAGTTTCTCACAACGCTCAGCTCTGATCTGCAGTTCTCAGTGGTCTTTTAATAACTTAATTTCCTTTTGTGGTTCATTTGCCGATACAATATGAGTTATTCGTATCTATTTTTGTTAAAGTCTCTTGTTGGGGTTTTAACATTTTCCATGTATAGTCCTTATATGATCTAAAGTGGCTAGTTTCAATGTTTTAGGTAAAGTCCAAATTATTTATTTAGTTTACGATGATAGTTGTAAACCCTTATTGTAGTTTCATATATTTTTACTTTTTTAATAATACTAACACCTTCTATTAAAATTTTTAAAAAAGCAAATAAAATTATAAAATACAAAAAATAGTTAAAATATATATAAAAATAAAAAATATTTTTAGAAAAATCATTTTTCAATTTTTCTGATTTTTTGAATTTTAAATTTTAGAATTAATTGAACATAAGTTAAAAATATAAATTCTAAAAAAATGGTTTTCTTTAATATTTCATAATTTATTCATATTTTTTATTTTCTGTATTTTAAATTTCAACATTTTTATAATTATGATATATTTTGATTTGATGACTTTTTTTTTATAAATTTTAAATTTAATCTTAATTTTAAATAGAGAGAAAGGGAAAGAAATACACTAATAAAGAAAATGAGAATACTTTTAAAGAATCTAGAACTTATCATATGAAAAAATAAGAGGGAAAACAAATTAAATTGAAGAATGAAGTAAAATATGGGAGAAATTAACTATTAAAACCAAAATCATATGAGAAAAAAATATAAAAGACGTTGAAGTAGCCTATATCTTATATAAACATTAAATTGCTATAATGGAGGGCATAGCAAAAACAACGGCAAGGACCGACGGCAGGATAAGAAAAGACGAAAAATACCCAACCAATATTGACCGCCCAAACATAAAGACTAAAGTAGACCTGCCGTTCTGAATAACATTCTCACTTATGATATCGGATTACGGGCAAAAAAAACTGATAAAGCAATTAAAGTAGTGAGTAAATGTACTTTATTTGAAAAACACCCAGCTCTTCAGTCTTCAAAGTCGGACCCAAAATAGCAGATATTAATTAGTTCGTAGGCACCGAACCTGATCCCAATCCCGTCGCACTACAAAATTAATCAATAAAAGAATTAAGAATTTACTTAATCCAAAATTACAAAAAAAAAAATTATCATATCCTCACACATGGTGACATGGTGTTAAATAGATATGCTCACCTTTCATAAAAAATAATTACAGAACGTATATCACAGTTTTGAAACCTGCATAGATAAACATCGAAAGCTAGTCACTTGAACATTCAACGGTATTTCTTTTTAATCCTAAATTAAACACTTGCTGCAAAAAACACTAAGGGAAGTCATTTGCTAATAACACTAACCGGCTTCGTGGATCGTCTTCCATCAAGGGAAGACATTTGTTAGTATTAATAAGTTCAATCATCGCTTGCTGCAAAAACATTTCATAACACCTACATTCAACAAACTAAATGAAGAACTACATTCAACAAACTAAATGAAGAAACAAAATCTGAGTCAAAGTTGTAGAGCTAACCAATTGAAGAACTTCATTCCCCTGCCTAACACATCTTCTAGGGGTTCTCTTTCATTTGCTTTCCATAAATTTTCGTCTTCATATACTACTGGTATTGGTCAACTCTAATCAAAGTAGAAGAAGAAAGGGAATTAACGAAGCATATACTACTTGCCAATGAAAACTCAACTGCACCGAAACGAGACCCTTATTGGCTGATGCTTCTTCTCTTGTCACATTCATATTTTCCCTACATCTACATGTTTGCAATCATTGATTTAATGAATAAAAAAAGTGCATATGGTCGGATGTTTGCAGGCATACCAATCGTTCACGACAAAGTTCAAATGCTATAATCGGTGGGCGGTTCGAAGCTTTTGTCTCATCAATTATTCCATCTTCACCATGAAATATTCCTACCGCTGTTTTCAATGTCCTGCAATAATTCAACCCATCAAACTCATGAATATATTAGTTGAATGTGTTTAATTTGTAGGATATTTGATTTTACAGGGACTGATAATTTTGGTACCTTGACATGGGGGAAGTGATGACTACCTCAATCCACTTAAGCAGACCGGTGGCACAAACATCTTTTCGTTTATGTGTAAATCACCTGTTGCCAGCCCTGAGAGGTGAGCTGAGCGCCGAAAAACTCAAATGAAGTTAATGGATCTCGATTCCTGTCTGGTTCTAGATTGTGCAGTCCTTGTGCATGCCTCACCTGAACTTTCGCATAATTGAACACAAAAAATGTAAAGAAACTGAGGACATACCAGATGAACCATACTGCTGGAATGGATATGGAACTGATGAAATTGTTTCCATGCAAATCTTAGACCTTGTTGATGAAAATATATCAGAACCGAGCAGGCTTTGCCGTTGAAATCTGAACCCACCTGTTAATCTACGTACAAGAAAGTAAACATATGTAGAAGTAGAAAATATTGCAGAAGAAGAGACCTTGTTGATGACTAATAGACCAGGAGGAAAAATATGACTGTTTTTAAGGGAAATCTCCCTGGTAAATGCACACATAGATTGATAAACATGTAACAACCAAAAGAAAAGTATAGCGGTTTTAGTTTATTTTTTCTCACCCTAAAAGTTGTAAATAATCAAACCAGGCGTTCACATAAAGCACAAAAGTATGTGGTTGTTTACCAAAAGGGGAAGTTGAGGGAAGGAAACTTCTTAACATTTTTCAACAGCTGAAAGGCGTGATTACCGGATATATGAAGTTGTCTGAACTCAGAAACTACTGGTAAACTGCTCAAACCACTTGGAATCCGCTCAACATTAAAAAAAAAATTAGCCGGTACAATCCAATTAAAATATTTATTTTCACAACAAATACCGATTGGTTTAACAGGCTAAATAATACGATTGAAAGAGTAAAAGGAAGAAAAGAAACCTTGTATTATAAAAATAATTTGGGGACACCTGAATTTGTACCAACACCATGGGATATATTAGTTAAAGAAGTTGTCAATCGGGATGAAACAAAGGACGAAGAGCAAAAGAAGGAATTGGAAAAAGAGGAAGACATTTTTGAGTGAGAACGACAATATTTCTACTGGTACTATTGATCATGCAATAGAATTAGACGCAACAACTACAAATTCTGTTCCAGAAAAATTGCTACTACTGCATCGGAAGCTGCAGTTTTCAAAGAAACCCTTTTTATGAGGAGAGATTCGTTGATAGTGTGGAGTTAAAAAAATTATTGAGCCGTGTTAAATTTAAAAATTATATAAAATTTTATTAATCGAATGAAAATAAATAATGAGTGTCAATTTATTTTTAAGGGTATCAATATTCTTTTAAAAATATACTAATTTATTTTTTTTAATATTTTTATATTAAAATTATGAATATTTTTTTCTCAAAAACTTTTGGGGTGTCGTATGACACCTCGTTGTAAGCTAACTCTGCCCATGGTTGTTGAAGCTGTTGTTAAAGTTAGTAACTAATATATAACTGTTATATAGTTATTTTTACCTCAATTACATTTATTTAGCAAGCTTATAAATATATGGTTTTTGTATACTTCAAGTATTAAGCTTCTTCTTATTAAAATTTTATTCCATCAAGTTTGAATAAGAAAGCTATTCTCCATCTTGCTGCCGTTATATGATATCAAAAGTTTTTTTTTTCTTCCATCATCTTCTCATTTTCTTCTCGTGTTTTTCTCGTCTTCTTCAATTCTTCATTTTTCATCATGGTTAAAACCACTGATCAGTTGGTCATGGCAATAACCCTTACTACCTGCACCAGTCTGACAATCCTGACATGATCTTAGTGATGTAGCCCTTTACTTAATGACAACCATAATAGTTGGAAGCGATCGATGTTATTGGCTTTATTAGCCAAAAATAAGTTAGGGTTTGTTGATGGCTCCATATCTGACCTGGATCCAGTCTCTATTGATTTGCTTGGTGCTTGGACAAGAACCAATAATCTTGTAAATTCTTGTATCTTGAACTCAGTCTTAGAAGATATTGCTACTAGTCTTTTGTATTACACAACTGCTACTGTTGTTTGGAATGATCTTGAAGAACGTTTTCAGCAAACAAATGGACAAAGAATCTTTTCCTTAATAAAAAAGATAGGTGAACTGGTTCAAGGGTCCCTAACAGTAAGTAACTACTACACACAGATCAAGATTGTTTGAAATGAGTTAGTTTATGTTAAACCTACATGTACATGCTTGGTGTTTGAAAGATGCTAGATGAACATGAAAAGGAGTTAGCCATGCAATTCTTGATGGGTCTGAATGAGTCTTTTGCTCAAGTGAGAGGTCAGATTCTATTGTTGGATCCTCTTTTCTCAATTACAAAATTTTTTCTTTCGACATTCAAGAATGTGGCATTACGTTGTCTAATCCAGTTGTTGAGGCTACCTTTGGTTATCAAAGAAAATGTTAATCCAAAGAAGTCTCATCCTCAATGTAGTCGCTGTAATGTGATGGGCCATACTAAAGATAAATGTTGCAAGCTTCATGGGTATCCTCTTGGGTACAATTAGGGTTTCAAATCGCGGTCGCAGTCACGTTTTCGATTATTTTGGGTTTACCATGATTTTGGCCGTCGCGATCGCTATTGCGGCCATCGCGGGTGCTATTGGGTACTATTGCGGGTGTAGCAGGTAACTCAGACGGCGGCGAAACCGCTATTTCGCGGGCGTTATCATGTTTTCTGACCGTGATTTGAAACCCTGGGTTCAATGGTCATTCTTGGTCATCGAGTTCCAAGAGACACAGGTTGCTCATATCAACGTTGTTATCGATATTGATTCTTTATCTACCCATTAGTGCCAATAGTTGACAGCCATGCTCACGAATCAGCTTCAACGTCAAATTTAACATCCACATCTACTCATTAGGCAAGATCCTCTCTTACATTAAAAATTTGAGTTCTTTTGATGGTGAAAATGTTGGGTTATTGATTCAGGGGCTTATGTTATTCAAAAGATTTGTTTGATTCTTTAATTTTCATTGAATATTGTACTATCCTACTTCCAAATAAGTCCATAATTTATGTAAGATCATCTGGCACTATCCGTCTGTCAAATTTAGAATTGCTTGCTCATAGATACATATATTATCAACAAACTTCTTTCTTCAGTCTTGGATAATAAGTCATCCTATAAGGTTTTCAACTCTTAGCTCCCTGATTACATGCACGTGAAGATTTTTGGGTGTTTATGCTTTGTCTCTATGCTTCATGCACATACGGAAAATTTTTTCGAGTGATGATTGCCTGGAATTTTCATTGGTTACGCTCTTGGTATGAAATGGTACAAAGTATACATTTTGAAGACTCATGCTATTGTTGTGTCTCTAGATATTGCATTTCATGAAGGCATAATTCCTTTTCATAGCATATCATCTTCTGGCTCAGTTGTTGATCCTTTTCATAACATTTCATTGCCTATTGTTCTTTATGATAGTGTTTCCTACGATGCACCACAATCTGCTTCATTCTTGGATGAGTCTAATCCTTAAAAGTTATTTGACACATTTGTTAATGAGCCTTTACATGACCAAGGTTGTATGTCAAATTCTCATGAGATGCTTGATAAAATGGTTAATGATCTTGAAGAGGTTTTTGACTCTCAGTTAAAGCCTTCTGTGGTTCACAATTAGCAAGATTATGTTCCTAAATAAGTGTCTGATTTACATCCACCATCACATGAAGTAGTTTTTCAAAGCTTTTCTCGAACCACTTTCAAACCTTTTTATCTTCAACATTATTATTGTAATTGTATGTAACACCCATTTCTCGTATATGTTTCCGTACACAAGATACATATGTCACATTACTTTTAGAAACATATACTTCTTTGTAAAACTTATAAAATTTTGTTTCAAAATTTCATAACAAAACATTTTTAATATAAAGCAAAACATTCGTTGTAATCTATTACGAAGTTATAAGTTAAATACATTCCAGAGCATTTTTCTTACTTTAATTACATGCCAACAAATTTTCAAAATAAACCAGATTGTCCTATTGTTTCTGACGAGTCAACCATAAATTGATGATAGCTACTTCTACTGTTGCACTCCTTACTCGGCTATTATCTGCTTTTACCTGCGCGTGAAATCAACACACATTCAGTATTTACTTAGTGAGACATAAGATTGTAAATAAACGTTAATGTATACATAAGTATATCATGGTTATTTGGTTTTGAACTAAATCGTATACTCCATAAGGATCAAATAAATTCGTCTCAGTTAAACAAGATTTATTTAATGCAATCATCATAGTTATTCTTAGTATGCCCAACATACCTATCTTTCTGTATATTTTCCCATTATTCTTTAGTAATTATTCTTTATTTTCATTTATGGCATCCTTTCATGCCTATAATGCATTGTTATCCATTTCCATTTATGGCATCCTTTCATGCCGATAATGCACCGTTATGCATTTTTATTTACGACATCCTTTCATGCCTATAATGCACCCTTATGCATTTTTATTTATGGCATCCTTTCATGCCTATAATGCACCGTTATGCATTTTCATTTATGGCATCATTTCATGCTGATAATGCACCATTATGCATTTTTATTTACTCATTCATTTTAGAGCAGTTCATACTCTAAAACTCATTCACAATATCCTTTCCATACACATAATGAAAGTATATTAAATATTGTAAAACATACGTTAAATAAAAACATTCTAAGTTGACTCATCTCATATAAATACAATAAATGTACTCACCTGATATGCCTCGCTAATAAGATGTAATGATGTCTGAATATTTGACAACTTTACCCTTGCCCTTTTTCTTGCTAAACTCAGGAGCTTGGTTATGATCTACACAAGCATCCATTAAAGACAAATACCATACCAAATGTTAATATATTCCCTAACATTTATACTTTAATAATACTCAAAAGTACTATTATTTCAATTTCTATTACAATTTCAGCCTATCTTATAATTCCAGACTCAATAGTATCGGAACCCTTACCATGGTATTGATACTTCTATACTGTGGTACCGATACTCCCTTTTAGTATCGATACCATTTCTACATTCTGGGATCCATGGTATCGATATCTTTCTCATAGTATCGATACTCACATCAGTATCGATACTAATTGCTTCAGTATCGATACTGTTAATCATATTTCTACCAATTTAAACCTATAGTATCGGTACTGTTCTTTCAATACTGATACTCTACCTAGATTTTCCATTTTTCAACTCGATTTTTACACAAATTTAGTCAAATTCCCTTACTTTTACCTCCAATAATACTATTAAACTCTTCATTACTTATCCCACTAACTTTCCTTCATTTAACTTCTTATAACATCTAAAATCTCCAAAAACAAATCTCAAACCAAGAATCATACCACTTTTTCTAACATTATATTAATCAAATCCAAGGCTTCTAATCTCTTATTTACTTCTTTGACAAGTCAAATATACTAGTAAACCTCAATAAAAACTCATATATCAACATATCATTCAAAAACCCATTTTCTTCAATCTCAAATAATTCATCCATCTCTTAGTTTTAATCTTATTTAATCATTCCTTAAGCCTCTATAATCTCAATGTTTCAAGAACAAACCAAAAATGAAAGGAAAAAATAGCTAAATGAAGCCTTGCCTTTTCCTATGGAGGAGAGCACTTACAAGGGAATGAAGGAGAGAAGATAGCTTAGTTTTTTCACTTTCCCCTTTTTCACATACTTTAATACCCTAATTAAAATAAATTTTAAATTCATTTCCCTAAGGGCCACAATGCCCCTTTTATTCTTTCATTGTTACAAATTGGTTTTAAACATTATTTCTAAATCATTTCATATATTTATTCATTTATTCAAATTAATCCTCATTTTTTAAATCTTTTAAATAAAGTCACTGACCTGATATTTGGGGTATTACAATTCTCCCCCTTAAGAAAATTTGTCCTTGAATTTAAAGAAGTACTTGAAACGAAGAGGTGTGAAAATTGCTTCCTCATGTCCTCATCTCTTTCCCATGTAGCTTTTTCCACCTTATGATTATGCCAGAGCACTTTAACTAAAGGAATCTTCTTGTTACGCAATTCATTGTTTTCTCTAGCTAAGATCCACAACGGTTCTTCCTCATAAGTCAGATCTGGTCAGATCTCTATTTCCTCTGGTGTGATAATGTGGGATGGATCGAATCGATACCTTATGAGCATCAACACATAAAAGACAATGTGGATGTTATCCATATCTGGAGGAAAAACTAATTAATAAGCTACGGGTCTGACCCTTTTCAAGATCTCATAAGGTCAAATGAATCTCGGACTCAGCTTTCCTTAGCGCCCAAACTATAAATTTTTCTTTCAGGGCGTCACTTTCAAAAATACCTTGTCTCCCACTTGAAATTCAATTTCTTTTCTTTTCAAATCAACACAAGATTTATGTCGATCGTAGGCTATCTTTAGATTATTCTAGATAATTTTCACTTTTTCCTCAATGTTTTTCATCAAATCCGGGCCAACTAGGTCTCGATCCTTTAGTTCAAACCAATTTAAGGGTGTTCGACACTTCCTCCCATACAAAGCTTCATACGGGCCATCTTAATACTCAATTGGTAACTGTTATTATAAGCAAATTCCGCTAAAGGAAAATACCTTTCCTATGATCCTTTAAACTCAATCACATATGCCCTTAGCATATTCTCTAATATTTGAATAGTTCGTTCTGACTGCCCATTTGTCTGCGGATGAAAAATTGTGTTGAAATTCAATCGAGTACCCAATGCCTCATGTAAGGACTTCAAAAATCTTGAAGTAAACCTTGGGTCTCGATCAAACACTATCGATATAGACACTCCATGCATCCAAACTATTTCTTTTATATACAATTCCATAAATTTATCAATTGAGTAATCTACCCGAACAAAAATAAAGTGAGCTATCTTGGTCAATCTGTCTATAATTACCTATATCGAGTCCTTTTTACTTGCTGATAAAGGTAACTCTGAAACAAAATCTAATGTAACTCGTTTCCATTTCCACTCAATAATGGATATCGGTTGTAGAAATCCAGATGGCACTTGGTGTTCAGGTTTCACTTGATGACATGCCAAGCATCTTGCAACAAACTCTGATACAAAGTTTTTCATACCAGGCCACCAATAACGACTCTTTAAATCCTGATACATCTTATTCCCACCTGTGTGCATCGTTAAAGGACTATAATGTGTATTGGAAAGAATATTTTTCTTTAATTTCTCATTATTGGGAATACACAGTCTTCCACGATAATATAAACATCTATCAACCCTTATTTCAACAAAGTCTTTGATTTTTTCTTTTTCTACTTATACCATCCTCGCCAAACAATTCTCATCTTAACCTTCCAGCTCTTTTACCCGATCCAAAGGCATCGACTTTAACTTAAGTTCAGCAATCAGGGCACCATCTTTCTTTAAAGACATACGTGCATCCAAAGTCTATAGAGCGGAAAAAGTCTTTCGGCTAAGTGCATCCACTACCACATTAGCCTTTCCGGGATAATAATCAATAATCAAATCAGAATCTTTTAAAATCTGAATGCATCTTCTCTGCCTCAAGTTCAGTTCTTTCTGAGTCAGCAAGCACTTTAGGCTCTTATGATCCGTATAAATATGGCACCGCTCACCATACAGATAATGACGCTAAATTTTCAAGGCAAACATGACTGCTGCCAATTCCAAATCATGTGTCGAGTAATTTTTCTCATGATTCTTCAACTGTCTTGAGGCATAAGCCACAACTTTTCCATCTTGCATGAGTACACATCCCAACCCATTATGAGATGTATCACTGTATACTACATAGTCTTTACCCGACTCAGGTTGTACGAGCACTGAGGCCTCTGTTACTATTCTTTTTAACATTTCAAAACTTTCTTGCCATTTCTCTGACCAAACAAAAGGCATATCTTACCTTAACAACTTATTTAGAGGAAAAAGCTAACATTGAGAAGTTCTTCACGAACCGTCTATAATAACCAGCAAGCCCCAAGAAACTTCGAACTTCAGAAACATTCTTTGGGGGTTGCCAATCCACTATAGCTTGGATCTTTTTAGGATCTACTCTTCTGCCTTATGCATAGACTATATGGCCAAGGAAAGCAATATCAGCTAACCAAAATTCACACTTGGACCATTTGGTATACAACTTCTTCTCTTGAAGTGTATCAAGAACCACTCGAAAATGGTCATCATTTTCCTCTCTTGACTTGGAATACACCAAAGTATCATCTATAAATATCACCATGAATTGATCCAAGTAAGGTTGGAATACTCGGTTCATCCCAAAAATATTGTAGGAGCATTAGTCAATCTAAATGGTATCACCACAAATTCATAGTGTCCATACCGAGCCCAAAAAGCTGCTTTTTGAAATATCATCCTCTTTTATATTTAATTGGTGGTACCCCGACCTCATATCTATCTTAGAGAACACTGTTGCATCTTTCAATTGATCTAACAAATCATCGATCCTCGGAAGAGGA